TAGATTGGTATTGTATTACACTTATTTTAAAAATTCCCAGGCACAATTACAGCCAGATTCTTCATAGAATTTTGGGGGATCATTATCCATTCTTTCAAAAATCATTTTTTGGGTGCCTACCATAACCAGCTATAGGGAATACCATGGTGACTAAGATGTAATTATAATCAATATTCTGCTTTTGAGCAGAATTCCTACCCTGTCTCTAGGCTTTCAGATACCTGTTCTTAAAATCTACAATTTTCATGAAAAAATATCAGGCCTAACTTTATGTCATCTGATTTCTACATCACATGGGTCTGCAGTTCAATAACAGCACAGACTAGTTGCAATTTCTAGTTTGGGAGTAAATGCACAAACTCAAGACAGCCCACTAAGACATTGTTGAGAGAAACAGTATCCATAACGATAATTTTAAGGGATATTTCAGCTTTAATCTAGAATGCACTGAGCTCCCACAAAATCAAGTTCGTGGCATTGGAGTTTGGTCACATGCTATCATGTTACTGAATAGGCCCTGAAACTCATTGCTCTGTTCTGACGGATGCTATTGAGAACTGTGTTTATTAATTTACATCAATTGCTTCTTACCAAGGTTCTGGGAAGATAGTTCTCTCTGAATTTAGAATTAGGAGTAGTTGCGTCTCTTTTGGGTTTCCAGTTTGGGAGATACTATCATATCATAGTTTTAAGAATGTGGGGCCCTCCCCCCTGAAGACAGGATGCCTGGGTTCAAATTTCTGCTTTACTACCTTTCAGCTTTGAGACCTTGCGCAGGCTGTGTAACCTTCTGTGACTTGGTTTCTAAATCTGCAAAATGAGGATTGTAGTATCTACCTTACAGAGTTGGTGTGATGAATGTACAAGTTCTCAGTAAATGTTAGTCCCTATGTTAGTTTTAGTATTAATATTATTTTATTATTTTATAGATAGCGACTGTGAATTGTATAATCAATCACATGTCCCTCTTTGAACTAGCTGTCCCAAAACTGAAAGTGAAATCTGTAGATAACTTCTAGTATACAAACCTAGTGACATTTTATTATTTGTAGTGGGTGAGTGGGTCGAGTTCTAGCCATATTCCTGGTGTCATCTTATTCTTTTCTTTTTTCTACTTGCCTTGCCTGTTAAATTACACTTTTTAAAAATTTTATTACTCTAATTTTTATGTTACTGTTGTTGTACTGTATGTCTTAGAATAGACCATGCAGTACAGAAATCATCATCATTGTCAACGACCTAAGTAGTTGCCATCCTTTGACACTTGATTTTGCGTAATAACTCGTTCTTAACCCAGCGCGTGTGGTGTATTGTATTTGTAGTTCCTAAGGAAAAGCCTTTCTTAAGGTATGATGGAAACGCGGGTGCGTGTGCACACTTGTGTGCGTGAGAGAGAGAGAGAGAGAATATGAATGATGTGGAACACCGCCCCTCTCGGCTTGTATCGCCTTTCCTCCATCTCATATATGACGTTTGGTTTAGTCCTGATTCCACTCCACAAAAGACAAATCATTTACTTTGATTTGACAGTAGAATATATTAATAATACAGGCCTGGGCTGTTGGGAGACAGTTCACATGTGACAGCTGGGGAGAGATCTTGGGAAGTCTGTTGCTGGCCACATTCTTATGCATGATGGCAAAATTGTCCGTCTTATTCAGAAAATCAAGAAGACAGTGTTTTTGAAAATACTTCCTTATCATAGTTTTTCCTTGGCCCCGGAAATATTGAGGTGAGAAACCTAGCTAACCACCTGTTCTTTGCACATCCATCTTCAAAAGCGGTACAAGGGGTGCTACCTGCACGAATGCTCACAACTCTGTACCTTTTTATGAAAAGTATTTTTTAATTTTCAATTATAAATTCCAACTAGTTGCAATGAAATGAACTCCTGAGAGTAATCATTGTGTCAGGTCTATATGGTGAGAAGGATTTAAGAACTAATAACCATGCTCATTGAACATGCCTGACTCGGTTATACTAACTCTGTATTTGCTGCCTAATTTAATCATCAGAAATAACTACATGAGGTACGTATTATCTCCATTTTATAGGTAAAGAAACTAGGGTTGAGAGAGGTTAAGTGATTTCTGTAAAATCACGACACTAGCAGTAGAAGAATCGGGTTGTGCCAGGGTTTGACCCCGGAACCTGCACACTTTGCTGCTACCCAAAGCTGCCTTGAAAAGTAAACACTTATCGTCCTCTCTTGTCATTGGTCATTTCAGTTCTGTTGGTCGTTTACTTTAATCTCATCTTGTTTTAGCTCAGTAAACCACCTTTGGTCTTTTGGGGGGCCCATAATTATTGGATGAAGGCCAGCGGTAGATCTGAAGATTGGTGTTTAGGGGGATATATCCTAGTTGGGCCATAGGAAATTCATAGTCTGTCCCATTTTCCAGTGGCTCAATAATCCTTCATGGGCCCACAAAGAACCATACCATACTTTATATGTTTCATTTCAAGTGATAGAAACAGCTTTGTATAATGGGAACATCATAACCCTCTTCTGGGTTTACTCTCAGCCATGCGTGCAAGCACTCGCCTTTGTAGTTGGTTCTGTCTTCAGTGCCAGCCGTCATTTTGTAAACCAGTTCTTCAACCAGCCTTAAGTTGTTCTGTGGATCCTTGTCACTGTTTCTCACTGTTTGAGATTGCACTACAGGACTGTCATCAGGGTGCTATCTCTGTTTCCACTGGAGGACCCTTTTCTGTCAAAAGGGTGATTTCATTTTTTCGAGTATTATTAGTGCTAGTGCTGTTTGGGCTTATTCCTACAGTTCTGAAGCTATTTTCTACATAAAAATTAGAGTTTGCAACCAAGTGAAAACATTTCTCACAAATGTTTGCATAGTCTTCTAACATTTCCTATTCCAAATTGGAAAGTTGTTAGTATTATGCACTTTAAACAAATCCACTTTGTTTCTGAACTTGTTAAAACTCAGTAAGAGGGAAATATAAAAGACCAGTTGTTGTCAAGGTGAAATATTAAATTAATGCTATATCTTTTATTATGACTTTTTTGTTCCCAGTGGAAAGTTTCATTGAAATGAATACTGCTAAAAGTGTTACAGAAGACAGTGTCCAGGGCCACTAATTTTATCATCAGGCCTGGAGCTAATGATTAAGAAAAGCTAGAAAGCTGGGAGAGACTGTTTAACACAGTCTGAGTTTCTTTGACTCTACTCTGTTTAACATTTTTTTTTGAGATGGGGTCTCACTATGTTGCCCAGGCTGGTCTCAAACCTGTTTATTTTTTGTTTGTTTGTTTTTATTTTTGTTTTATCAGTGACTTAGAGGCAGATGTAGAAATCATGCTCATCAAATTTGCAGATAACACAAATCTAGGTAAGATGACTACTATCTAAAGGACCAGGATAATGGGCTGGAATGATGCACTGAAAACACAAGATGGGATTTAGGACAAACAGTCCTGATTTGGATTTGGAAAGTCACTGACCTTATTACAAAAGCAGGGCAGTGGCTCGATGGCAGTGGTATGAAAAACACCTATGGGATTTCAGACTCACTGAAAGCTTTGACTGGACCAGCCTCCTGCCTGGACTGTTGAAAAGAGGACAACATGGTCAAGGGCCCATTGAATTCTGAACATCTACCAGGATGCTAAAAAGGTCAAAAACATTTTAGTAGGAGGAATTTGAGGGAAGGGAGCAAAGCATGTTTTGCTTGGAAAAGTGAAGACTTAGAACAAATAATCAAATAATCAGCTTTCCTGTGCAAGAGCTGATATTTTACCATTTCTTCGTAGCATAGAGCTAAGATAAATGGGTATGCATTGCAAGAAGTAGAGTTCGGGGCTTTTCAAGGTGGAGTTTTCTACATGGTAGGGATGCTTTACAGAATTCTGAGTGCCTCATCTGTTGAGAGGCTGGCTGGGCAGGAGGCTGCAGAATTGACCTAAGCATTTGGATGGAAGTTGGACCTCTAACATCTGTTACCCCTCTGAGGTTGTACGATGGCTGTTTTGCTTATCTTCTTGCCACCAGGGCATACATTGCAGATGTAGTGTAAAAATATTATTGAATTGGTGTTATCTTGATGATGACTCATAATTCTCATCATTGGCAGGCAATTATAATTTTAAAAATAAACAGCATTATAGAATGGATAGTAAAATTTTCATAATAACACGACCAGTACAATCCGCTTGCTTTCCCCCTGTGAAGCACTGGGGAGAAGATCTGATGCTATAAAAAGTAACAGGAGACATTTAGGAGGATGTGGGTGGGGCTTAAAATCATGGCTATGCTGAATGCTGGTGGTGCTGAAACAGCAGAATAATACTACGTAGATACTGGCATTTTCTATTCTTTGTTTCTTGTTTAAGTAGTTTCATTTCTACTACCAAATTAAGCAGGTGTTTACCATGTTTACTTTTGAATTTATTTTTCCCTTTAAAACTTGTGTGGACTATAAGCGAATTTCTCTCTCTCTTAATTTTGAGACCTCAAATCTCCAAAGTATTAAATACGTGAAACCTGTTCCTATGTTAGATTTAGAATAATTCTTTGAAAAATACTTTGAAAGCTGTGTCCATGCTTTTTACTGCATCTTATCTTCTATCACTGTGCCAGTATTGTGGTGAAAGCATTCCCCTTTTAATTTTTTTGGACAGATTGTAATTTTTTTCCTATTGAAAACACATTGAATGCTTAAGGCAGTTCTATTAACGTTTCAAATACAAGATCAATTTTTCAAACTCCTATACATCTGGAAAATAGGAATTTTAAATTTGCTTGAGTCTTCCCTTCTACACCTCCTGCCAACATTAGATTCCTTCTGGAGAACTGTGTAGCACAGTGGCGTGGGTGAGACATGACCAGTAGCAGCCAGCAAGAGTCAGGTCCACGGTTCCTGAGCAGAAAGGTCCAATCAAATGTGGTTTGGCATCAAGTAGGTGTAGTTTTCCTGCAGTCATTGTAGCTTATTCCAGAGGTTTGTTTTTTATTCACATTACTTTTCATTTTTTTACATTTTAGGTGGTTGCCTCTTTGATGAACCATACAGCACATGTGGATATAGTCAAGCTGAAGATGATGACTTCAATTGGGAACAGGTGAACACCTTGACCAAACCAACTTCCGATCCATGGATGCCATCAGGTTTGCTTTTAGTTTTAAGTTTTCTTTTTAAAATAAAAGGCACGCAAGAGTCTCGGTCATTCCATGCTGAGTGATTGAAGCTGTTGGTCTTTGAGTGTGTCAAAGTAGGATTTGCCAGTGAGGGTGGTACAGGTGAGAGGACTGGTTATAGGAGTTTTAACTTCTCTCCCTTTGAATCAGCCTAACTAAAGTTTACCCCCTTGTCTTTGGGTACACCTTAGCTAGATTAATGGGCGTTAGCCAGTTGATCCTTCTCTAAGCAGCAGATATTGGAACTTGATTGATGTCTGTTCTGGCAGTTGTGTGTAATGGCTGGAACTCTGGTTGAAGAATACAAATAACAGTCTCCATCTGTCCCGGACAGGAGGCCTTGGAGGTGGCTTACCCTTTCTCCCTCAGGGGCTCACCTGGCACCTGGGAGATCTAGGAGGATGTCCAGTGATGTTGAAGTGTTCTGAATATAAAATGGTGATGCAAACATGTGGATATTTTTTCCACCGTAGAAGTGCTTAGTGAATTTCCCGATGAGTGAAAGACGTGTTCTATTGAACAGCGGCAACAGGTTTACTCATTCGGAGGGAAGAGTAGGAAGAAGGTGACAGGTGAACTCTAATCACACTGGAACTTGATCATTTCAATGGACCCTCTTTTCAGGCTGTGACATTGGGCATCCCCTTAAAATTTTAGATCTGTAGATTTGTTGTACACGTGGGATGATGAGTGTGCCCCATTCAGGATTCAAACTGTAAAACATGTTCTGATTGGGATTTCAAATAAAACAGTTTTTACACTTTTATGACTATAAAGTTTTTAATTAATGCCCCTAAGTGTGGGAATAATTACATTTAATAAGTACTCTTGTAAACGTAGCTTTTAGACATGACATAGAGTTTAACATTGTTCTCACCAAGCTTTAGCGGTTGTGATGCCCACTGTGCTCCTGCCCTCTCTTTCCCACGATTAACTCCTTCTGACTTCAAAGAAGGAAGCATTGAGCTCTTTAGCACTATGGCTTTACCAGACGTCAAAACCTTTCTAGCTCTTGGTTATTTCCCTACAGCTCACATTCTCCTTTTTTGTCTCTCTCGGTCTCTGGTATGCACGTGTGCTTTTGAATATGCCTGTGTTTGAATCATCAGTACGCTTTAGGTGGTTTTCCAATTTCCAGTTCCTTCGTCCGTTCTTGTCAGTGATGGGGAGAGGGAAGAGAACACAGCCGTGCTCTGTGCTCCCATTGCACTGCCCGTTTTCCCAAACAGGTTGTGCACCCTGAAGGCCTTTTGGTCTTCTGCCGTCTTAAGAGTAGCCAACCTGTCCAGAAAGGCTGGGCTGGCTGAGGCCATGGGAGTGGGGAGGGCCCTTAGAGTTCGTCCCGATAGATTTCTTCACAAGAGTACACTCACGCTTACTTTGTATATCATCTTCTTATTTGATGAAAAATTTGTAATTTTTCACATTAGGTAGTTGATTTTATTATTGATTATCTTTAGATTGAAGCATGACTTGGAAAAATTAACTTTTAAAAAGAAGCGCAAGTATTGCAGAATCTTCTTTAGCTTCTTTTGATTTTATTTTTGGCGCAAGATAATCCACCTCCCTTGATAAAGGAGGCCAGAGGAGTCCCTTCTTGTCACCAGGTCCTTTGCTGCTTTGTCATGTCTCCTACTACCATCTCAGACCAAGTTGTCCACTTTTAAAATATAGAGAGGATGGGTTTCTAAGCAGAGACCATTAAAACCATGGTAATCAAGCTGAGAGCCCAGAAGTATCCTGGAACAACCAGTTAAGTAATTGAAGGAACAGAGGGGAGTGACTTTGCAAATACGTAGCTTTTGAAGGCTCTTCTGCCTTAGGAAGAATGAAGTGGGGCTATGCACATGTTTTGCTTTAATTTTGTCTGCTTCTGTTGACTAATAGAATACATGGTGATTAATATTTGGCCTTTGTAGCTAAAGGTCTCTGTATGTTGCATCTTCTAACACTTTTGCCAGGTCCGTTTTCTGATAGCTACAAAAGGTATGCCCTGGACCCTCATCCCCCACTGATTGTTGAACATGTGGGTGGTTTGGGTGCAGCATGTGAATGAGGGAAGGGAAGGCCCAGCGGTCCCCCACCCTCTGACTCTCTTTATGTGCATGGGTGCAGATGAGATGTCTGAAAATTGATAGTTGTTCCATCAGATGAAATTTTTTGCCATAGTAGAGAACTGCGAATACTGGTATTTCTTTTTCTATTACTCATTAAACAAACTTTCGTCTTAAAAATTTTTTGAGTCTTAGTATATGCTAAATATGATGCTAATTACTTTCAGAGATGAAGGATCATAAGACATGATTTTCTCTTTATGAACTTTTACCTACTTGGGAAAAAGTTACAAAAATACAGTTAGTGAACAATCTATAATAAAATGATACACAATTAAATGTGATGTAGACTGGAAGTGTTCTATGAGCAGTTTTCTTACTGTAAGCCTAAAACATAAAAACATATAGAGTTGTGCCCAGCTGACTTATCTGTCCAAAGTAAGAAGTTAAATTCTCAGTGCAATATTGTTAGAAATAGGGACATATCATATTATAATCTTGCATATACTATCCTAAGATATGGATTTTAAAACTGAGTTTCTCATATATATGTACATATACATACATATATATATATACACACACAACCATATGTTTTAAAATACTACTTAGTTTCAAGAGTTTTCTCCTTTTCCTTCTTTTTCTTATCCATTTCATCTTCTGCCTTTACTATGAATGCGTGCAACATGACTTACTCCTCTCAAAAACAGATTCCAAAGCTGGTCCTCTCATGCTAAAACAGAAATTAATTTTATGAATTTCTCAGGGTGTATATGTGCAAAATCAGATAGAACCATAGTTTTCTGAGGGTTAATTTTTTAAATCTTTACTATGTTGCATGACTTGTTCTTGCCTGTGCCTGTATATGTGGTCCTGTAATGCTTCAGATTAAGAGTTGGCAAACTATGTTCTGGTCAAATTCAATTTCTGCTGCCAGGTTTTGTGTGGCTTATAAGTTAAGAATGTTTTTTACATTTTTAAATGGCTGGAAAAACCCCGAAAGAATTATAATATTTTGTTACACATGAAATTCAAATTACAGTGTCCACAAACAAAGTTGTGTTTTGTTTTGTTTGAGACAGAGTCTTGCTGTGTCGCCTGGCTAGAGTGCAGTGGCATCATCTTAGCTCACAGCAACCTCAAACCCCTGGGCTCAAGCGATTCTCCTGCCTCAGCCTCCTGAGTAGCTGGGACTACAGGTGCACGCCACCGTGTCCAGCTAATTTTTCAATTTTTAGCAGAGATAGGATCTTGCTCTTGCTCCGGCTGGTCTTGAACTCCTGGTCTCAAGCAATCCTCCCACCTCAGCCTCCCAGAGTGCTAGGATTACAAGCGTGAGCCACCACGCCTGGCCATAAACAAAAGCTTTATTGGCACACAGCCATACCCATTTGTTTAAATATTGTCTTTGGCTGGTTTCAAGCTACAGGCAGAGTTGAATAGTTGCAACAGAGACCATTTGGTCCACAAAGTCTAAGATACTTACTTTCTGACCCTTTATAAAAAATGTTGGCAATCCTTGTCTTAGACCATTTTGGCATCAGCATATAATTGTTGTTTTGGACTCTTGGTTTATATTGTTATTTCCTGTATTTATATTTATTAATATACAGACATTTCACATTTCATTTTCAGATTGTGTGTTTTCCAAATATTGGGCTATTAAAATCCTTCAGAAAAAAGAAAATGATTAGGGATTTTTTCTATCTTTCCCTTAAATTTGCTGTCTGTTGAAAAAGCATTGTGATTTTTTTTATTTTTTAGTACCAAAATCTTTGTCCTACTACTATAATTCTCATAAGCAAATAATCCATCAAGATGAATTTAAAAGTTATGACAGTGGGAGACTAAAATTTTTACTCCAATTTCTAGCTTTTTACTTTTTCTGTGTCTTTTTTTAAGTCAGTGGTCCAGCATGTAGTATTTGTGTCTCTGTATCTTCACATGTAAGGTTATTTTTAACCACATTTTAAAAAATTTAAATACTGTTTGAAACCTTATGCAAGCTGCTTGATAACTACTCTGAGGCTGTGATGTTAGCTCTGGAAATATATATTTAAGGCAAATAAATGCCAAATGACATTTAAATTTTTGTATTTCAAGTCAACATTTATGTTATAGTAGATTAAACTTTTGCAGCTAGCTCTGAACCATAACAGTTTTCTTGATGGTGAAACTATGCTAAAGCTGGTTTCTCTTTTATTGATAAGTGTGTAGTTTGTTTCATATCAGTTGATCTTCTCCATTAGCAATGGGGAAATTTCTTAAACTTTATCATAAAGAATACTACTTTGAGCACAAGATTCTTGATTAAGAATTCAAATACTAACCTGATACATTTTGTTAGCACTGTCACATTCTACCGCTTTATATACTGCAGCACATTGTACAATTATCACACAGATTAAGAAGTGTTTTATGATGTAAGAACAACTACATGATTTGACAATGGTAGATTTTTAAATATTTTGTTACTATGCAATATTTGTACCTTCCTAGTACAGTTCTATAAAATTCATATATATTTAATAAGTTCTATATCTTAAGTATAAAAATGTGACCCTGTTTTATAAAAAAGAAAGAAAATATTAAACACTGTTCCCATCCACGGTATTAAAAACATATAGGTAGCTTATAACCATAGCTATTTGATACTCAAAGAATTGACATTTATTTATACCCCACGTTGTTCCCTTAAGTTAAACCATACCTCTAAAAAGGCTGTAATTAAGTGAAATTGTATTCCAGTGTTGGGAAAACATAATTCTTGTAGTACCTTTCCAGGTAGAATAGCATGTGACTCTATAGGACTCATTTAGCTTTCCATGTCTTAGTTTTACGTACTGGGAATTGAGAATGGTGTTGCTGATTTTCGTGGAGATGCTGTGACTGAGAATCGAACCATGTCTGTCGGTG